TGCACTTACTCCAAACTCGCCGACAATGAGAAATGGCCAAACGTTTCACCTTAGTAGCTTTGGGTTGGTTGCACTTACCCAACATTTGACGATGATTGTTAATGATTTTTGGCTGTTTAGCTTACTCTGTGCTAGGAACAAAATTGACCTTTCTACCCTCCTCCCTGATTTTATTCATAATCACTTCAACTCAGTTTACATGCATCTTTAAAAGCAAAAATTGTTGGTAGATGTGTGTGACAGGTGGATTGTCTTAGCCTTGAATTGTCCGCAAAGGAGATGACTTATGTTTTTTTTGCAGTTTTTCTACTCTGTGTGGTTGACAGAACACATTACTATGCGGAGCTTAAATAGCCTCAACTTCACCAGTCAAGGGAAATCTGACTTTAGGTAACTTTGCTTTTATGCACGATTGAGGGATAAATAGTGCGATATCTGCTCTACTCTCATCGACGACAAAATTGGCAAATTTGTTGACGTGTATATTAACTCCAACTGTAATTGATATTCAGTCGATAGAGTGCAGACTTGGGCATCACTCACATTTTATTGGTTTCGCAAGTTTCCGTGATTTGTGTTTCTCTCAATTTTATAGAATGTAATTTCTCAATACTTACTTATCGAAACAGGACATTTGAGTATCTAAAATGTTCGAGAAGTTTTGGTTTCCTTCCTTTGTAATTTAAATGTAAAATATATTAGTGGTGCTAGTAGTAAGTCGTGTATATTACCAATGGATGCGTGAATTCAGTTTGTGTCTGTTCATATAGGGTGAAGGAACATTTCCCTAAAGGCTATTTTCTTAGAAGACGCATTGTTCGAAGCTATTTATGAAGGCAACTTTTTATCTCCCTGTTAAGCGTAAAAATGCCCAACACCAAAACAGGCAGAGATTGCGTCAGGATGTCATTTCATTCTGCTCTCCTCTTACCAGATCCTGAATGCCGGCAAAGCAAGTATTTGGATTCCGCTGTTGTCAATTCTGGTTAATAGAATTTAAATTTTGTGGCAGAAATTTAAATAATGCACAAAATGAGTATGACTTATAAATTTTGATGATGCCTTTGGTTGAAGAAATCCCCTCTCAACAATGGATGAATTGTCACAGAAACTCGCATGCCAATGGTGAACAATACAATTACCCTCGGAGCGCTTCTGTAAATTATTGGGTGGGCAACTAAGTCATTGCCGTTTTTGTTGACAGATTCACTCTATACTTTCTTTTGTTTTGTTAACGTGGCCAGAGCATCTAACCTATACTTTTTTCTTACTGTATGGGCTTCTAGGTTAATTAGTAAAAATTTTTTTTGTTTAGTTCTTTAGTTTTGTTTTTATCCCAATTTAAAAATGAAAGAACAGGACGTGCACTTCCGACACATTTTATTGTATTACTTCCGAAAAGGCAAGAACGCATCGCAAGCACAAAAGAAGTTATGTGCCATATATGGAGATGAAGCCTTAAAAGAAAGGCAGTGTCGAAATTGGTTTGAAAGATTTCGTTGCGGTGATTTTTCACTGAAAAATTCACGACGATCTGGCCGCCCAGTCGAAGTGGATGAAACCCATATCAAGGCCATTATCGATTCAAATCGTCACAGCACAACACGAGATATTGCAGAGAGGCTGCTCAATGTGTCGCATACATGCATTGAAAAAAATGAAAAACCCTTGGTTACGTCAAGAAACTTGATTTATGAATCCCTCACCAGTTAAAGGAAATTCATTTAACGCAACGGATTGACATCCGTGATTCGCTACTGAAACGCAATGAGAATGAGAATGATCCATTTCTGAAGAACCTAGTTACTGGCGACGAAAAGTGGATAGTTTATAACAATGTCGTTACTCGCGAGAGATCATGGGTGAAGCAAGATCAACCAGCCCAAACAGTATCAAAAGCAGCAGAGATTCACCAAAAAAAGATTATGCTGTCAGTAGTCTGGTGAGATCACAAAGGAATTTTGTATTTTGAACTCATGCCGCAGAATCAAACGATAAATTCAAATGTGTATGTTGAAGAACTCGAAAAACTGAAGGATGCAATTGAAGATAAGCGGGCGGCATTATCAAATCGGCGTAAGGGTGTTGTTTTCCATCATGATAACGCAAGGCCCCACACATCTTTGGTTACTCGGCAAAAATTATTGGAACTGGGTTGGGATGTTTTGTTTTGTTTTGTCACACCCACCATATAGCCCTGACCTTGCGCCTTCGGATTACCATTTGTTTCGTTCCATGCAAAACTCTTTAAATGGTCAAATGTTTAACAACGCGGATGATGTCGGATCACACCTAATTCAGTTTTTTAATAGCAAAGACCAGACATTTTACGAACGGTGAATTTTTACTCTGCCAGAAGGATGGAAAAAGGTCATCGACAAGAACGGCCAATATCTAATTGAATAAAGTTATATTTTTAAACAAAATTCCGAATTTGCCTTCTTATTTGAAATCGGCAATGACTTAGTTGCCCACCTAATAAATAGGGTGGGCATTGGGTGTCTCTGTATCAACTCGTTAAGTATAATAAAGATGAGTGAATAAAAACGTGCACTTTTTGTTGTCCTAGCAACAAAGAATGACTCCTTTTTAAATCGAATTGCTAGTGAGGACGGGAAGTGGATCGTTTAAGACAATGATTCTTTTTTCGTTCCTAGGCCTATCGTTTGGAGCCTCTGATTTTGAAACACTACTCATCTATTCCTCCAGTGGACATTTACCGCTGTACGGATGCATCCAAGTTTCCTTATCACATAACGCATGCCATAAATTCTACTTCCCCTAGCTCATCTCCACCAATCCAACGTCGTGCCATTTCTGGGGTATGTTAACCTCTCAATTTCACTCCCTTCCGCCCCCGGCCTGACCATCTGTTAAATAAAATTGTCGTTGTATGTGTTGAATTCGAGAAGTTGTGAAATACCCCATTCACAGCAAGTGCTTGTACTGAAATTGTGCCTATTGTGAGTTGGCGTATGGTACTTAGGCGTGCACAAGACGATGGAGGTAAGACCAGGCCATTAAAATCCGAAAGTCTAGACCGCACACCCTTGAATCTGGTTAATTACATGACCCTAATTAAGAAACATATGTGAACACTTTCGAGTGCATGCTGAATTCAGTCATTGAATATACTTCTCGTAGCTCAAAGTAGATAGATAAATCTTTCAAGTCAACGGGCTATTTACCTTCGCCGGTATCATTGGTCCTTATTTTTATGACTTTTGGGAATCTATGCATTAGTAATAGAGGGATCTTTTTGTTAGGCATATTATTTTCTACTGGATTTATTCACGCACAATTATTGCTATTAAATTTCATTTATCTAACATGGTTTCTTAAGACACTAAATTCACAAGTTGTGGCAGTTTAATCCGTTTTTCAGTCATGATAGTTTAGTTATATTAAGGTTTAATTTCGTATTTAGCTTGGACCTACGATCCTTGTTCACAATCTTTTCAATTAGAATTTCCTTTGTAGATGGTATACCTTGATTCAAACTCATCAGCCTCTACAGAGTCTTCCACAAGTCTCTATAAACTTCCTCAGGTTAGCAGTTCTGCAGAATCCCTCAATTCTCTCGGTAGACGGTTTAGCCGGCACATTCCTCTTTCTTGTACGTTCATCTTCAACTACGGCTCATCGTTGCTCAAAGATTGATGATTCCCGATCTTTACCTTTTCAGCCTTTATGCTCGGAATCTTCGGTCGATCAACTGAGCCGGAGGCTACTCAACCCTCTTCCCAGCTTCCTCCTCTTCCCAACTCTCCACCTCAATTATCAGCTAAGCGTCCAAAACCCGCATCACCGGTGTCTGAACCTATGAGAGCGCTCTTCTCTGTCGACTGCGAGGAAGAATTCATGAATTTAGATAACGATGATAGTGTCGGCTTCCCAACCCCGTCTCCTCCGGAGTCTGAAACTTCTACGATGATACACCTTGACTACCGAATGGACTATCAGCTAAAGGAGAGTAGGTATGAGGCTGCCTATCTCTCAGCTCTTACTGTCCACTCGGGCTACTGGGGGAATCCGGACCTGGCGATGTTTGTCCTCATGCAGTGTCATCCAGATGCCTCTCCTTTGGATGCTCCCATGACGTCTGCGCAACTGTGATATTGTGTATAATTATTCAAAATTATCTACGTACATTTTAATAGTTATTCACGGCACCGTTCGGCGCTGTTTAATGAATAACGACATTTTACCAATGTTGTGATTTAATTATGAAATACCTGTTCTGAATTTTTGTTGCTTTTTGCTAATCGGGGCTTAATTTACCCTCTACTGATGTTTCTTTAAGGCTGTGAAAAGAGGGCAAAGTACCTAAATGAAATTTGTTTTGAGGGCTGAATTATGTTAGGGAGTTGAGTCACTGCAATAAGATGAGCTAAGGGTATTTTATTTGTTTCGATTTTGTCTGCTCGTCCATACGGAAAGTGATCAGAGACTTCGCACGTGTTCACACACTGGGATGGATTGTAGCAATTAACCTAGAACCCCGACCTCCAAAACGAACTGCTCTAGTCATGTGCCTATCGTTTCGACTGGACATTTGTAATTTAGAAAAAACTGCATCTCATCGGATTATTCAGACAACCAAGTAGATATTCTGTTAAGTTTTAGGCTCTGAACCACTTCACAACCGACATACTCGAAGTTGGAAATTGAGAAGTCAATGAAATTCGTGCAGTGTACATTTGACATAATTTTAAAGTTAGAGGGGTGTCTCTAATGGCCAAGGTAGGAAAAAAGCTTCACAACGGTTCAGTAAAGATTGAAAATTTTCCTTTAAAAACCTTACTCGCAATAAGAAAGTAGACTAAAATCATCATATTCTTAGGGTAGAAAATTACGCTCCTGGCCGAATTAAAATTCCGTATATATATATATATATATATATATATATATCACCAGGTGCAGAAAACTACCAATTTCTTTACGAAGCACTTTTATTGATTCTGATATAAAAATGAATTTCTGAATCGCCGCAAATAAATGGATTTGAACTTGGGCTGTTTGATGACTAGTTCGTAGAAGGATAAGCCTATGTATATTGACTAGTTTGACAAAGATGTCAATTAAATACATAGATGAATGCTTCAGCACCTCGTAAGTGTGAGACTTACAATAGAGATCTACTCAAGTCTTGCGAAGCAGGCGCCGTCAGTATTCATAGTCAACTTGTTTGAATCGAAGTTGTAGTTATATATATACATATATAGAGTATGAAGCCATTCTTATTTAGTCGAAGGTTTACAAAACAGAGAACCACGAGTAAAACACAGCTATCAAGAATTTCGAACTGCAATTAAGTCTAAACATTTAATTTCATAAGCTGATCGGACTTTTATAAGGACTTAAACCGCTATAATAATCCTGATTTCAAAAAGTGAAATGATTTTCGTTCAATCGCTAATTTTTCGTCCTTTCGTCTAATGTTAAATATCTAATCTCTCGCATAATATTTCTCAATGAGTTTTGAGAAAGCATTTTACTAACACAAAGTCCACCGCCTAAAACAAGTTTACGTTGAAGCATTCCCTTTTCGTGAAAAAGGCTAAGTCAAAAAATAATTGTTTTACTTCTTTACAAAGAACTTATAATCTTATTTGAAAAACCCTCATTAGTTAAAATTTCGAGCAAACTAAGATTAACAAAATTAAAAAAACTTTTACTCTTTCTCTGGGGATTTTTGCATTAATCGCATTACCTGGCAAATGCAAGTTGAACCCGCTAGAATCGTTAAAAGCATGTCACACAAATGTATATATATTAATTGGATCCACGGCAAGGGAATAAATAAGCAGCAATGAAGAAATGGTGAGATTTTAATGCTTTCTATAAAGCGAGAGAGAGAGAGAGGTGGTAAGAATATTCTGGAACACCGTACGCGAAATAATTTTGATAATCATGGGTTTATTTAGGGAGAGCTATGATGTGCAAGCTAATGAAATGGCGAAATTATAAATCAAAATCATGAAATACAGGCTTATTTAGAAGTTATAATAAAGATTGTAATTTCAAGATTTGGCAACGGTTCAAGAGATTTAATTATTATTGACTTTTAAAGACTATAGCTTACACTTTGAAAGTATTCATTTATGTATACCAAATGACAGGCGTTTTGATAGTTATCATTATCCAGGTAGTCGACTTCAAGCTTCACAGAGGGGAAGGAACATCAAAGTGAAAAAAAGTCGAGAGAGGGGGAGGGGGAACAGAAAAGTGTTTCAAAGGTGTAAAAAAGACAGACACAAAGGCAGAGAAAAGGTGAGGTGAGCACTG